CAGAAAAATATCTTTTAGTAAAATAAATTTTTGTTTTTTATTTGATTTCATATGATAAAATTTTAGATGGATGAAACTTTTTTTCATATGTGATTGCTTCAGTTGTATAATATCTTGAAATATTTGATTACGTATGAAACTGTTTAGCCTGTTGTACATAAAATATTAAACATGTTATAATTGGAATTCTAATTTTACAATCTTCGCTAACGTATGTTACAAAATAACATAATGCTAGTTATTCTAGATCAGAGATAATGATAATGATGAGATAATGCTAGATCATGTCTGTTAGCATTATATAAATATTAATTAGGCTAACATAGCTGAAATCTATTATAGAATAGGAATCAAATAAAAAGTTATTGTTAATAATTGCTATTAGATTTAAAACTCAGAAAGAGTCTTTCATTAAATTTGGAAATAATTAACAAATTGTAAAATTATTATTAAAATAAAGATTTCTGCAGCTCCTAGTTTAACCAACCAGTCAAATGTAGATTACGATTAAATGATATGACATTAACATAAAACACACAAATAAAAATGGCTTAAAAATTTTTAACTTTTTGTAATTATTATTATTATTATTATTATTGGGGGTTTTTTTTTTTTTTTTTTTTTTTTTTTTTTTTTTGGTTTTTTAAAAAAATTTTATGTGCTTTTTTAAAAACATATAAAATAACTTTAAATTACGTGTGTAATCCTTCGGGAATTGAGTCTATTTAGTTTAAGATCTATTTCACATGCATTTTATCAGAACCTTTTTTTAAATTTATTTCCTTTGTCATACCTTTAGAGCAAAAGAAACTATAAAATCAATATGAAATCAAATATGGTTCGTCAAATTGAAGAAAACAGAAAAACCATAAATTGAGATGTTTTTTAACTATTCAATTTTATTAATATTACAATATTACTGTAAGGCATTATAATCAGAAAATAAAAAAATTAAATAAATCTATATCAGTATCTATATTTTATAGTATGTTAGATCATTATGTAATAATCAATTCAATAATTCAATTATTTAAAAATAATTGAATTATTGAAATAGCAAAAAAGATCAAGAATCAAAGATATGAAGATTGCTTTGAACATTGACAGGTCTTAAAAATTGCAAAGTTGCAGTAATTTTGGTTGATAAAATTAGTAAGCGACCAAATATCGCATTATTAAAGGGGGGAAAAAACTAATTGAGCAATAGTTTCAATAGTAAATTTAATAGAAAATTCAAGAATATAAATTATCTGAGTTTTTAATTGATTAAGTTAAATATTCGTTGTTTGAAACTGCTCTAAATTTGCAACAAATCTGCAATATTAGAGACGAATGGCATGTGTTCTGCATTTGAGGAAGGTAGGTTAAATATTCATCACAATAATCTTCTATTAATTTATACCAAGTGCAATATTACAAAAAGCAATGAACAATCACAGTTTTAAACAACCACAAATTACAACTTTATGCTACCATAAAACTGGACAATAAATACTGTTTATGGGTTTGCAAATTACATTGTAACAGAATGAAGGAAAAGGCGAGAAAAAAAAAAGACTGACCTTTATCCGTTCAAGTTCACTGCAAAACAACGACCGCTAAACGGCTTTTACCACAAGTTTATAGGTTAAAAATCGTGGCGCGATGTCTTCGAAATCTTAAGACCTCTTAAAAGAAGCCGTTATTGGGGTAAAAATGTGCTATGTGCCACCCACCAGGTGTCACTGCCTGTTGGGGTGGTTAATTTTGAACGTGTGACGCACGCCTTAATGTTTCGCGCTCTGAAACTTGGCTATATTTAAGCGAGGGGGTGGGTCAGAATTTGGTGACTATAAGACACAAGCATTCCCCCATCATGCAGCACCCCTCCCTACCCCATTGTCTGAGTCGAATGGAATCTTCCTCACAATTAGGTAACTTTGCTGTGGGACTTCCTTTTTTTTTTTCCGAATTCCTCTGTTACAATGCAAGTATTATTTCTAGTGTTCCATTTTCTTCTAAATGAGTGCGAATTTGAAATGTTTGCCCTGGATGTATTTTGTCTTTTTTAAAGATGCTGGAGTTTAAACAATGGAAATTTTTTGTTTTTCGTTTGGGGTTACAGCAGAGGTGATGCAATTAATAGTACCTAAGAAAAATTGAAAGACATATCAAAGGTTGTTTTTTTTTAGTAAAATCATCTCAATAAGTTTTTGAGATTATATTTGTAAGATTAGGTCTGTTGGTCCTGCTGAAATTAGGCTTACTGACAGCTGATAGTACATTTTGTGAAGTGTCCAACTTTTCAATATTTTAATTTATTTCACATACTAGTTCACAAAACATCTATAAAAATGGTCATTAGGATTCCATCAATACAGAATTCGTAATGAATGCACCCTATTTGTTGCCGAACTGTCATGCAGTAAGATTGAGGCCAAACTGGATAGAGAAAAATCATTCGTAGAGTGACTAGCTCGCTGACCGTTAGTACCATGGATATTTGCAGCGCTTCGGAATCCACTTTAAACAACAGTAATAGAACTGACAACCCTACCCTGTAAAAAGACATCTTTTTCTCCTAATCTGCCAGTAGGCGCACCGCCTTGACCTGCCATGCCCTGTAGTGCCGGAGTTAATTAGTTAATAAAATAACAGTACTACTAAAAATATTAAACATTTAATTTCCTAACATGACAAGTGAGGAACTCTTAGACAAAAGAAAATCAAGAAAATAGCACATTTAAGGCTTTTAAATATAGAAAAAAAATTCTTTCTTTTGTTAATTTGAAAATCTGAAAGAGCATGTTTCAAGTAATGGATATCACCGACACCATAACATATAAATCTAAATGGCCAGTTTAAATATCTTATTAGATAAAATCTGTAGTTTTATGATCCGTTAAAAATTTTAACTTTAGAGTAATAGTAAGAAATGTTTATTGTTTATTCTGCACGTAACGGAAGACAAAAAATAATTCAGTTTGCTAGGCAATACATAAACATAATTCGTTCTGTTTTGGGGTTATTTTTTAATTTGATTACTGAAATAGGATTGAGAAAGATTCAGAATCTAATTAATGTGATGGTTAGTTAATTGTCTTAACTAACCAATCAAGTTTCATTTTTTCTCAAGACGCATTTCCAAAAAGGAAAAAATTCATTTTTTTCAAAGCTTGATTTTTTTTTCCTGTTTTCGTACTTTGTGTAAAATTAATGGATAAACAAAGTGTTGAAATACAATCTGTCACTGATAAATGAGGGAATCGAACTGGATGGCATCCAACAAAATTATCGGAACGATCTGTCACTGTCAAAAATATCTCTCATCCATTGTGTTTTCGTTTTGCTACAAGTACAACAGGTGTACCTTTGGGGCTCCCAAAATAAAACGCCGCCACTTAAAATACTCTCTTATTCTCGACTTAATGAGTTAGATAATAAACTTGAGTTTAGTGTTGTTGTTCACTGAAGTTTTATTTTTCAGGCTTAATCTAGATTGTGTAGGATATTGTAGAGTAAAAAGTTAAAATGCAAGAGGTAAATTATATCTTATAAAATCGCTTTTTTTTTTCCGTTAAAGTTGTTTAATGTGAAAATTTATTTATTTATTTATAATACAGGGTTATGGGACTGAATTTGAGGGATGCTACCTTCAGCTTACTAAAACTTACACTTTTTATATGGAAATGTAGAGTCAGTCCTTTTTATATAGGAATGAGGTGTTGAGAAACGAATACAAAAAAAATTAAATACTAAAAGAAAATTATTGTTTATTTTATGACATCATTCCAAAGTGTTTCTTTTATTCCATAAATGCGCAAATTTGCGACCACCTACAGTATTATATAGATGCTTGGCGAAGGCATGATTGGCGAAAAGTTCCAAAAATGCCAGGCCGCAATGGATAGTCGAGCAACGAGTTCCTTAATGGAGTCAACTGGAGTCTCGTAAATGAAAACACAGTGTAAGGCTAAATTAGGTTCCATTAGATTTTTCATTTTGAAGATCTTTTATTTTTGATTGCCCCGCAATTTTAATTATGATATTGCTAAATAATAATATGACGTAAATTTAAATTTCAACTAAGTTCTCAGATATTAGTTGGTATTTTAAAGAGATTCGTTTTAAAAATTGTCTATTTATAAATACTATTATTATGTATTCATTATCACAGGTATCACACTCAGACCGTTTTTATACGAGTTAAATATATTATAATAGTTTTCCTCCTGTAATACATTTTCAGTTGATTGCAAGATTGCTCTTCTGCTTAATAATATTATCTTGAATCACCCTTTATTTAACATTGGTGGCTTTTAGTTCTTGAGAACAATCTCAATAGCTGTGGAACAGTTTTTGAAAATATTCTCAACACTTGCGCAACTGCTAGAGAACATCCAACAATTATATAACAACTAATAAAAAACTAGCTGTTAAGAAACGTTGAGAATATTCTTAAAGAAATCTTAAGAATATTCTTATCAGCTGTGTAACAATTAATTGAGAATAATTAGATTAGGTTAAATTAGGTCAGGGTTTCCATTCAGAACTTGAACCTCGTCACTTGGCGTATTGTGCCTAACTGTTGCTAGAAATTTGTTTGAAAGTGTGCTCGGGCCTCGATGCGGACCAACAACGAACCTACATTTCTATACAAAAAATGTCCCTTTAGTAAACTGTACCATCCCTCATCCCATCCCCATTTATCCCATGACCATTGAATTATGTTTGTTGTTGTTTCTGATCCCACTTGGCTGGCCAAGCCCACGAGCCCATACGTACTCATGATTGAAGGGGAAGGAAGCAGCTTCTGTTGTGATGGAGCACCCGTAGGTAGAAGTCTGACTTTGGCTTCGTGACGCTCTTGCAGTCATAGGAGACCTGGACCTACGCCTTAAAGTGGATTCCAAACCACTACAAACATCCATGTCACCGCCGGGATTCGAACCCGAAACCCGTGGCACCGAGCGCCAGAGCGCTAGACACTCGGCCATTCAGGTCCCTAATGTGTGAATGCCAACAGCACGCGGTGTTCCCAGGTGGTCACCCACCCAAGTACTGACCGCGCCCAATGATGCTTGACTTCGGTGATCTAACGAGAACCGGTATATTCAGCATGGTACGGCCGTTGGCACCCATTGAATTATTCTGTATAGAATAATGATAGACAAGTTTGTTTGGCAACGAATTCATTGTCCAGAACTAACACACACAACTAGGTTGTAGAAGAGTTTAGGCTCGGGTCAAGTAGTGGAGTTCATTGCAATTACAACTTTCAGAAATGCATAGTAATGGTTGACTGCAACAGATTGTGTAAATGCCACTCAGAGATAGTCTGCCAACTTAGTAGGAGTTCTGAGAGTTTTTCCCATGCGGTACGCGAATGAGGAGCAGTTACTCCTTGAAAATATTCCTAGAAAGCAATATCCTATTTGGCATATAATAGATGGAGCACGTGATCTACCAATATACAAAAGAATTATCATGTATTATGAAAATAAATTACTTTTCAAAACGTAAAAGTGTGTGTTTTTGTTGTTGAAACATTTATTAAAACTTTAATACACATACAAGTGAAATATAAGTTAGTTATTTATAAAATGGCTGGTGTAGTACAATCATTCATATGAAGTACGCATATAGTTAATGATTTTAGGAAAATAAAATTTACAACTAATTAACTTTAATTAAGTTTCAGTAATTAATTTACATTAATTAATTATTTAATTGACTAATTAATTACTTAATTTAATTATGTTTCAATAGGTTATTTTAACTATTTATAGTAGCATTTCACTGTCAAATGACAGCTATATTCATATTCCATAACATTCATTTTATCATCTTCATGTAATCAATTCATAATTTTCGTAATTCATTCATCTTCATGTAATAAAATAATTACAATTATACATATATATATATTTCTTTTTTAATATAATTTTGCAGTTTGCTAAATAAAAAAGGAAAAGTATATTATTAAATGTATTAAAAAAATAAACATTTGCAAGTATCAGCTATTTATTAAAATTAAGCATATTATATCAGACAAATCTTATACATATAGATCATATATTCATCATATATAAATACACAGACATTTTAAATCCGTAAAAAAAAAAAAATTAATTCAGCGGAAATTTAAGTTAATCTGATTTTAATAGTTTTTTAAAAAAATGTTTTTCAGCTTAAAAATAAATCTACAGAATCTACAGAAGTCAATGTATGATTTTTATGGACTAAATAAATGACAACATATTTATTTCAGCTTCAGTTTTTTTCAAGCACCAATACTTTAGAAAACAACGATTAATAAATAGTCCAGACCTACAATAAAATGTCCCCAATACTCTATAAAACAATGATTAATAAATATTCCAGCCCTGAGGCTCTAATAATTTGCAAAAAAAAAATGATTAATAAATAGCCCTGAAGGCACCAATACTTTACGAAACAACTATTAATAAATAGTCCCTAATACACCAATACTTTACAAAATAACGATTAATAAATAGTCCAGGTTTAAATAATAGTCTAGGTTTTTTACTAATAATTTACAAGACAATGATTAATAAAAAGTCCAACCCTAGGAACCAATACTTTACAATAAATTACGAAATAACGATTAATAAATAGTCCAGCTTTAAGGACCTAATAATTTACAAGACAATGATTAATAAATAGTCCAACCCTCGGAAACAATATTGTACAATAAATTACAAAATAACGATTAATAAATAGTCCAACCCTCGGAAACAATATTGTACAATAGATTACAAAATAACGATTAATAACTAGTCCAACCCTCGGAACCAATACTTTACAATAAATTACGAAATAACGATTAATAAATAGACCAGCCTTAAGCACCTAATAATTTACAAGACAAGGGTTAACAAGTAGTCCAACCCTAAGAAAAAATATTTTACGAAACAACGATTAATAAATAGTCCCTAATGCCCCAATACTTTACAAAATAACGGTTACTAAATAGTCCAGCCTTAAGCTCCTAATAGTTTTTAAGACTATGGTTAACAAATAGTCCAATCCTAGGAACCAATACGTTACAAAACAACGATTAATAAATAGTCCAGCACTGGAAACATACCCAAAACACCCTTTATATCATTGTGTGTACTTGGTATGAAAATGAAACAGAGATATGACAATCAAAACATAATAACAATGCGCCTGAATCCTTACCTTTCGGCGGGAACTTTACCTTGAAATCTCGCAAAGGCCATTTTAAATCGATCTTTTCCAACGATTTGTGTCACAATTTTTTGTTTGTCTTGGCGATTTCGGAGGGGAGGCCCGTCATTTTTTAACGGCGTCGGGTAAAAAGTGCGGCGCGGTTTTTCGCCAACAAAAAGGAAAATATATGAAACGAAAGCTTTTTATAAACCGTTTCCCTGAGGTGGGCCCAAAATTGGAACTCGAAACATCATCCACACAGGTTTATATTTGTCTCGCATCCAATCTGCGCTGTTGAGAGATGGAAGGTGAGGGAGAAGAAGAACTCATTCCGCCGAATTTTTTGGGTGAAGATGATGGAAAAGATTCTAATCTTGTAGATTGAATGGTGACATTGAAAGATTGGGGGTGCCTTGTGGTTCTAGAGATAACGTTAATGGTAATTTCCAAGTTTGTGATTACATTTACTGTTATTACCCCGAAAAGAAAATTCCTGAAGACATTCCTGACATTCAGCAAAATATCAAACAAGTAACGTCATTGCCCCTTTCTTATTGAATCAAAATACAGACAGTTGACAAGCAGGTGACCTCAGGTTTTATTATAAATAAAACGAGAAGATTCCTTCATGAGCATGTGTAAACAGCATGAATTGGCAATGAGATGGTTCGGTTTGGTTTGTCGCTCTACAGTCATTTTGTGCCCTTTTTAGGCTAATAAGACCCGGACTATAGTTTAACGTGGATTCCGAACCACTCACAAACATCCATGCCACAACCAGAATTAGAACCTGAAGCCTGTAGTACCAAAGGTCAGAGCGCTAGCCAATTGGAGTTTGCCTCCATATGATATGCAAATATGAGGCAGATACCCCTAATTGTCTTCCAGGAACACCATAACCGACTGCGGTTTATTCGTGCCATACATAAGTGGAACATTAGACCCGAAAACGTACCAAAAATTCATTCAAAACTTTCACAAGTTCTTCGTTCTTTGTTTCAAAGAATTAAAATTCAGTTAATAACATAATTAAAAAACAACAATTTAAAACAACATTTTATTGTAAAATCCATCCTAAAATCAAACCAAGAATTTCTTTTATTACATCGAAAAAATTCATCCAAGTAATCCTAATATTATGTTTAGTAAATTCAGTTAAAATAATATTTTCATGTGTCTTAAAATAAATTTATTGTTTCAAAAACATGATCTGCCCTCAACAAAAAATATTAAATTCTTTAAACAAAAATACCAAAACGAGATTTTCAATAATTTGAAACATTTAATTTTGTTATCATTGATAGGTCAATTAAGTCCAAACTGATATTGGCTTTTCGATACATTCAATGTACACTTTCCATATGGGTGGTAATCTTCATAAAGTTCTAATCTTTAAATACTTTGTAGTCCCATAAAGTTAAATCGAGTATCAACGAGATTTTTAAAAGTAGATTTTGAACAAAAAGTATAAAATTCTTGATTAGCAATGAGTGTTATAATATATAAAGCAGACTTTCGATATATATATAGTGTAGAGAATAAAAAGTTTTGAAGTATTCTAAATAAACAATTGCTATTTCGTTGCTGTTGTTGTACATCGGGGGCCCTATTACGTATGCACCGCGAACATCTGTTTCTCTTAGAAAGTTTTATTTAAAACTACGAAACTAACTCGATTTTGCCTTTCGTTTCACAAAAATAGATGGATGGAAAAAGAAAACTGGAGTACTTGTCATGCATGCACTCTAAAAACAGAAGTCTTAAACAATAGTAGCGCATTTCTTAAATCGTTTCTTGTTTGTAAAATAAACAATCGTAAAATTTGCCAAATGTAAACAATGACTCACGTTTTTGTTTTGCTAACAGAACATTCAAGGTTAAAATTCCCCATGCTAACAAGTGCAAGGTGTTTATTTCTATGTAATGTTTAGTTAATCTAGAAAACAATGTTTTTAAAATTCATTTTAAATATATCAGTTATCATTTTTTTATTTCATTTATATCTTTTACTTCCTAAACTGTTTAAAATTTTATATTTTACAAAGTTTTGCCATAAGTTTTAATTATAATCAAGGCTCGGGCGAGCTGATGGCTTTGTCAGAAGCAGGGTAGCCAGGTTGAAAACTAGACGAATTAAATCGAAACGGAAGCATCTGTATTTATGTCGGGGATTGAGACATCTTTGAAATTCGTACACCAAAAACCCATAGATTCCACTTTCTAGGAGTGTTCATTCAAAATTTTGGTTGTATAATGAGAATGCAATATAGCAGGTCTGTCATAGTATCATATCAGTAACAATTAAAGTACATTAATCGGTTATTATTAGAAACTTAAGATGGTGTCCTCCTCTATGAATTAAAAATTTAATTAATGCAAAGGAAATTTTCCCAAAAAACATGTACGCAAACTATATATAAAAATTTCGCAAAACTATTTTTTTCTTTTAAGTCGTCTTTTAAAGATAGCAGTACGGATTCATTATTATACAGTAATTTATATTCTTTTAAACGATTATTTTTTACTTCAAATTTAATGTCCACATTTTATAAATGTTTTTTTTTCATACCTGGTATCATTCGTCATAGATACGATAGAACTGCAACATTCCAATATATTTGCAAGAACTCCAGTTATCCCGAGGGCCTCATGTTAAGTCTGCTATATCACCCAAACAAGAGAAAATGGAGTGCATTACTTTTTTAATTTCTCTTCCTAACGGTACTTGGCTGACATACATATTATACTTGAGCAAGACACGCATTATAGCCAGTCGATGGTCAAATATGTAACCAAACTGTATTTCTGTCTGAAATTTTATACAGAAGCTTAACCAATACGAATTGAACCAGTTATCTCATCTTTTGAAATCTGTGAACAATACAATCTTTCGAAACAATACAATTTAAATGTCATTGATATTCTAGCTAGCCAAT